AATCATTCAGCCAAACCTTTCTGCAGTTTGTCTCCCGTGTGGAAGCCCGATGTCTGTGCCAAGCCTGCACTCTGCCCTGTCCATCTTGCAGACCTTTCACAAATTGGATCCAGGAGATGTCCCGACCGAACTCAGGCAGGGGTTCTCCAGGTGCAAAAGGTGGGGACTTGCAGGTGCTCTGTTGAGCGCAAGTGCCAAAAATGGGGTTCCCCCAGCCCCAATTGTTTGCTTCCCTTGGTCTGGAAAACCCATCCAACCAAGGGACACTCACCTTTCATGGGCCAAGAAGGTGATGTTTAAAACCACCAAAAAGGGGAAAGATAGGGACCCCTGCCAGATGCGGCCACCTCCGCCCCGCTCCGCAAACCCCCCCCCCGTCCGAGGCGCCGTGGAGCTGGTCCGCCGCGGCCTGCAGCTGCAGCGCGCCGCTTCTCAAGGCCTCCAGCCGCGCCAGCGCCTCGCCGAAGCAAACCCACCCAGACGACCCGACCCGAGGCGATCCGATCCGATCCGAGCTCCGCGCTCTTGTTTTTGCTTTGTTGTTTTTGTTTTCTTGCGATCCACGGCAACAAAAAGGGGGGTAGTGACCTTGGGGAAGGGGGGGTTGCTTTCGGATAGAGGTGGTGGGCTTTTGGTACTGTTGCTTTTTTCCCCCTTGGTTTTTGTTGATAGGTGTTTTGTGAGGGTACCCCTTGTTTGGGTTTTTTTAAACGGACACCTACAGGAATGCCACCACATATATATATATATATATATATTTGTTTGTTGCGGGGGCCCTCAAAAAAAACAAGACCCACATGGTACATGGTGGTTTGTTGATTCCTTGGTCTGGAATCCAGGCTCAACATGGAATGCTTCGGGTCGGCAATTGTTCCTCACTCTCTCTCTGGATTCCGGCGGCTTCAGCATGCTCTCTCAAGGCTCTGAGTGGGAAACAAGTCCTGTGGCACAACACCTTTTTGGGGGTCCCCTATTTTGACAAATATGTGTTGCAGATCCCTGTAAGCGCTAAAGGCGCGGAACGGCCGGGTTCTGAGATGCGTGTAATGAATCAGAGTTCTGGTCCAGGTTCATTTTACATGCACAGACCCAAGTTGACAAATGCAATGTGGACAAGAGGAAAACAATGGGACCATCGCGTCAGCCCAACTCGGGGATGCCAACGGAGATGCGACATGCAGCACTGAAAAGGTCGGGTGCGTCGTGTGGCTGTGTGTCAAAAGGGTTTACAACCAAGGCAAACCTTGTTTCACACAGCGATGCGTCTTGAACTCGGGGAACTCGACGGCCTCGAGAAAAAGGCAGGCCCTTGCAAACATCACCCCGCATACGCGAGCTCGAAGGGTCCCAAAGGGCAAGGTCCAACAGGCTCTCCTCCATTTCCCTGTTTGGAACCTCCAAATGTGGAAACCGATGGTTTCAATGGAAACCACCCGTAAATTGCTCAACCAACCAAAAGAAGCGGAACATCAAACTTTCGACATGTCGCCAAATGGCCATGACCCCAGTGAACATCCCAATCCCCAGTAAAATAGACTAAAATGGGTGGTGCACCTACCCTAAAATGGTACCAGTGGCTTTGACCCACCGCCAAGTCTTTCCTCGGGGTCGCCTCCCCCGCCCAAAGCCTGAAACCGGCGAACCCGGTGAACCCGCGACCGCCTGGTCTGGCGTAAAGCTAATCCACGCGGAGGTGGTGAAGGTGGTGGAGGTGGTGCTGGTGGTCGCATTCGGCCCAGTCACCTGACCGGACGGAATGATGACTGCGGAAACCGCTCTTGAGAGTCACAATCAAAACCCACCCAGAACCATGGAAAGAATTAAGAAGGCGGCCGCAGCTAGTTCTAGTTGGAATTGTCCCTTACTAACCTTCATCTACCCGGGTTTTGATTATGGCTCATATTGAAATTCCAGTTGCGCAGCTCGTCCTTTCCGGCAAATGCCTCTGACCCATAGTGGTGTGCTGCCAGCAACAAGCTCACAGTGAATTGTCTCCAGGCAAGATTGCCTGGCTCCCTTAAATCAAACAAGGGCGCCCTAAGAAAGGATCCTTGAAAGCTTGACAAACTGAAGCTTAGTTGACAAGCAAACTGAAGCACTTCAAACTCGGCAATTCCTAACTTGAGTCATTTTCAGGGGGGGGCCATTGGTCGAGAAGCCTGCTTGGATGTGGCTTTTGTGGATCCACCTCTGTAGGATACTAAACGAGCACCAAAAGATTCTACCAAAACAAAAAACCGGGGGAAGAACATTCGGTGACATCCACGTAAAAAAAAAAAAGGAAAAGAGAAAAAAGCGAACCCAACCCGTTTGCTAGAGTTGGCGCACTTTCCCAGCCACGAACCCCAGCGCGGAGAAAAAAAGCTTTGGCCAGCACCCCCGTGGCCTCAGCCTGCAAGCGGCGATCCATGGACTGGAAGAGGGGGTCCATGATGGCGCGCCACTCCGAGGCGTTCGCCGGGATGATGTCCATAGTGGCCTTAGGTCTCAAGAGAAACAA